GGGCGAGTCACCTAATTGTAATACAGCCATAGCCGAAGCTAGTATGTGTGTTGATGATCCAAATCTATCTTTGCATACTATGCAACTGTGGTAATGACCTTCCATCCAAACCTTGATCTTGATACACTAACAGTGCTAAGGGGTGTTATTGATGTGATAAGAGATGATCGAGCGTCTATGCCTAAGTGCTTGGTGTATTTAGGCCAATCAATATTGATCCTTTATGAGCAGATATCTGCCGATGGGTATGCAAAATAGATTATCTGAACTAGATTACTCGAAATATCAAGATTTCCAATCATCCGTCGGACCTTTCGTGCTGAGCTCTATAACACTGTGATACAATTCATCTCTATCAACACATGCTGGAACTTTTTTTTTTTTGGAAAAGTCATGATTTCCTGTAGAATGTGTGATTGAAACTTTTTCAAAAAATCTCTCCCAAACAAACTCCAAGTATTATAAATGGACAAAATTATAAGTTAATTGAAATGTATAATAATTATTTTTGACACTGATATCATTAGTCCTTAATCTAACTCTACACCTAACAAACTAATATAAGTATATGAAAATGATTAACTAGTAATCAGTAGTGAAGAATCAGATGTCCTCCATGTGTATTCAAATGGTGGAATTAGCATGAAGGAACATTCGGTGCTTTTTATCATAGTCCGTGGTATACTAACACCCACAATTCAACACTAAATATTGAAATAAATAATTTTTTTTTAAACTAAAGATGAAAAATAATTTATCAATCATGTTTCAAAAAGGCAAATTAAGCAACTTATAATCAAAGATGCTGAAACTTCCATAAAATACATGCAACTGAATAAAGAAAGAAAATAAATTTAAAGAAAAGTGATGAACTGACAGAATCATTTCATTTCATTTCTTGGCAAAGAGGCCCCCAAGCCCAAAACCACCATCGCCATTTTTCTTCTTGGGCGGAACTGCGACGATGTTCTTGGTGGTGTCGCCATTCGTCACCTCCACCTTCTTCAAGATTGGATCAGTCTCGTAGAACTGGTCTTGTTTCTGTAATGCCCCAATGATCCAATCTAGCGGCCCCTTCTCCTCACTGCCACCGCCGGAGGTCTTCGCCGCAGTCGCTGCAGTTTTTACTCTTCTTTGGGTGGCGGCGATCGGAGTAAAGAATAAGTTCAAAGAAGCCATCTTAGCAGCACTGTTTTCTGTGGTATATCCTGTAGTCTTCTATTGGCTGAATTCGAACCGTAAAATGTACTTATAGAAATGCAAGTGTTTCAGGCACGCACTCTCCACAACTATATTATCTTCCTTTTTACTGATTTTTTCTTTCCTCATTTTTATTTGCAGAAATTTCAATAGATAATATTGGATAAAAATCTCATCCAATAAAAGCTCATCTTGAGAAAATACGGCTTCCATTTTGACACGTGGCAGAACTTGCCCCTATGATAATTAGCAGATTTATTAGTGATTAAACCACACATTTAACAATTTAGCTTCCATTTGAAAAGAATTTACCAAACAATCTGATTTATAAGAATAAGTCTACATGTATATAATGATTGTACATAGAAATGTACATAACACTCACAAGGGGTAAAGTGGATCTGTAAGTGTTATGTATACCATTATGTACATAAATTATGTCCGCCAAGCATATCTCGATTTATAAATATATAGAAATATGTAGTAAATAATTTGATTGTACTCGTGTGTCTATTTAAATAGGAAAATTTGCATCCACGATATCAAACATTTTATTTAATAGCAAACTTTGTCCAAACATTTTATTTGTGCCACCGTGAGTATCGAACTCCGTCAGTTTGACCACCAAAACCATCAATTGACTCCCAAAATAAAATAGAATGGGACCCATCACTTGATATAGGTGCGGTTGCCTCATAATAGGTCCGAACTGTGTGTTTTTTTTTCCACATAAATTACATCAGTTTTGGGGCTATTTTGATGGTTTTGATCCATCAAAATGTTCACCTAGTCAAGGCAAGGTCAACGATGATGGTTGAAGGCCATAGGTGTCGTTGAAAAAAAATAGAATGGGACCCGTCAATTGATATAGGTGCGGTTGCCTCATAATAGGTCTGAACTATGTGTTTTTTTCCCACATAAATTACATCAGTTTTGGGGCTATTTTGATGGTTTTGATCCATCAAAATGTTCACCTAAATAAGGCGAGGTCAACGATGATGGTTGACGGCCATAGGTGTCGTTGAAAATGGTAATTTCTGTTGGTGTTGGGGGCTAAAACCGTAGCTGTTTTGCACCAATTTTTCAATCCAAAGTAGTGGTTTGGATTGATTGTTTGTTGGGGAATTTCAGTGGCAAAGGTAGTGATGCCGATGATGACAGTAGCGGTTGGATGGAGTGGTTTTTGTATTGGGGAAGAAGGAGATGGTGATGGGTTGTGATTTTATTTTTTGTTTTTTTAAATTTTTTATTTAATATGAGAAATGTGGTTTGTTCAAAATGCCACTGCCTTATTTGGGAAAACTAATGAATTTTATTTTGGGAGTCAACTGACGGTTTTGATAGTTAAAACTTACGAAAATCATCATTTTGGATTTGGGCTGCGAATTTTTTTAATGTTTGGTACTCACGTCGACACAAATGAAAGATTTTGACAAAATCTACTATAAAATAAATGATTTGATACCGTTGCTACAATTTTCCCATTTAAATATGATTGAAAATGGAGATTTATTACTTATAATTAATTTATAAATTTTGCCAAAGGGAAAATTAGACATGGCTCCAATAATATGAGATATGGTAAAAATAGGCCGTTATGTGAACTATGGCTATGGACTATCATACAGACGTGATAGCGATGGTTGACGTGATATTAGCACCTGTTTGACGTCATTTTTAAAATTCATTTTCAACCATATATTTATCAACTTTTTAATCAAATATTTTATCAAAATTTACCAAAAATCTAATATTTTAACTAAACAAAACACGGGCTGAATATGATATGATAGGTCGAATAGTATACACAATTTTTAACAAGAACAAGAGAAAAATAAATACTTGTGTTAAAGGATAGACAGAGTGGAAGAAAATAATTTTTAGACCGCCAAGGAAAAAGTACATTTTAGGAATAAAGGGACCCAATCTCACAATTTTGAAAGTCGACCGATTTTCCTTTACCATAAATTTTTTGAGTGTCCGTGTTTACAAGGAAAAAGGACTTCTTAGGATTAAAGGGACCTAATCTCACAATTTTGAAAGTCTGACCGATTTTCCTTGGGTACGTTTAATTGCAAGGGTGAAAAATGGGCAGAAAAAAAATGTTTTACAGGGAAAAAATTTGTCTAGAAAATGTTTTGTAGGGAAAATAATTTCAAGTGTGTTTGATTGGTATAATTTTCCACCTAAA